AGAGAAGGCTCGGGGGGGACTTGGTGGCAGCCTACAGTTACGTAAGAGGGGTACATCAGGACCTGGGAGAATACCTGTTCACTAGACCTCCCAAAGGGATAACAAGATCTAATGGCCATAAACTCCAGGAAGGTTGATTTAGATTAGATGTAAGAAAAAAGTTCTTTATGGTGCATGTCTCCAGGGTCTGGAACAAACTCCCCCCAGAGGTGGTACAAGCACGTACTCTGGACTCTTTGAAAAAAAAAACAACAAAAAAACAGGTGTATATATTTCCTGCTGGGGTAACTTGATCACAGCTGACTTCCTGCCTATGGCGGGGGCGGGGGGGTGGAGAGAAAGAAGGAGGAGTGGGCTGACCTGATGATCTCATGAGGTCCCTTCCAGTCCCTAGTGTCTATGAAATCTATTAAATCTATGAAAATCTATGAAATAACTGTCCTTTTGGGAGAGGGATTGCCATCTTAGAAACAAACCCCCCTTCTCCCCCCACAAAAGCATACACTGGAAGTCAAACACCTACTAAAACATATTTTAGGGGGATTGTGGGGGAACATAGGGTATGTTGGGGTGTGTGTATATGTGGGGGGCTTGGAGGGGCAGGGTGTGGGTGTGTGAAATTTGTTGAATGTGAGGGAGGGTGGGGGGTGTTGGAGCTCCCCCACACACTCCCCACATGGCACGCAGCCCCCTCTGCCAGCAGCAGCAGGTGGGGGGCTCAGAAAGCTCGTGCCTGGTGCAGGCACTGGTGCCAGGTGGGCATGGCTCCAGCCAGTGCTGCACATGAAAGGGAGGGGTGGGGGGGAGGGCAGCAGGGTGCCCAGCTGCCTCTATTATGGGGGCTCCATGCTGCACACCTGCAGCTCCCATACTTGCACTGGGGGAAGCCCCATGCTGGACTCAACAGGGAAGCAGGGGGTGGGACTCCCTCTACTCCCAGCAGAGTCAGCATACCTGCGCAGCAGAGGGCTGAGAAGGCATTCAGCTCCAGCATGGGGCTTCCCCCAGTGCAAGTGTGGGAGTTGCAGGCGCGTGGCCCCTGTGATAGAACCATGGGGGCTGGGCTGGCTCCTGCTGTGTTCTGCAGTCCCAGCATTGCAGCCAGGCACTGTGTGGCACAGCACGGAGCCAGCCAGCCCAACTGGGCAACTTCTAGCAATGCATGGCTCCTAGCTGCAATGCCAGGGCCACAGAACACAGCAGGACCCAGCCCAGCCACCACAGTTCCCAGCTAGCTCCTGCTGTCACCAGCCCTGAGCCTTGGGGCCCCATGCTCCTGCCTGCTGCCACTTTTTCCCCCCTGTGACTGCCACCACCCCTCCCCCCTGCCCGCCACTCCCCACCTGCCGCTCCAGCAGTGTGCGGTTTCCGGTTGCTTGGTTGGGACTGCATGGCGCAGCAGGAGCCAGCTTGGAACTGTGTGGTGCCAGCTGGGCTCAGCTGGCTCCTGCTTCACTGGTGATCCTCCCCACCCCCAACCTGTTCTTATCCGATTCGCCACTCTCAGACGGAGGGAGGCAAGGAACAGCCCCATGGGCCCAGGACAGCAGCCTCTTTCAGGCATGGCTGGGGTTGGAGGGCTGGGGGCGAGGCAGGGCCAGGCGGGCCTTGTTGCTGCTGCTGGGTCCTGCCCCTGGTTCTTCCTGGGTCCCTGGCACCTTGTTATCTTTGACAGGCAGCCAGGGGCAGATGAACATTGGTTTTCTAAATTCTTTAGGGGCCCCGCAGGCCAGATAAAATGGCCTGGTGGGCTAAATCCAGCCCACAAGCCATATTTTGCCCGCCCCTTATATAGACAGTTACTGTGCATCGGCTGCTCTGTGGTAGGTCTATAGCCTCTTTTCACATTCTGCAAGTTGATCATCTGTCCATACCCAGAGACACCAGCATAGACTAGAACTTGCCCAATGGCAAAACACTGGACTCAGGTAGTTACATTTTACTCAGTTCTGAGGCAGGATTGTTCCTGGCTGGACTCATTTGAGTCCCGTTTTTTTTTTGTTTAGGGTTCTTTTGTTGTTTTCCCGCCCTAGCGGGGGGTCGGGCTAGAAGATCTATTAGGTCCCTTCCGACCCTAAAACTATGAAACTATCCAAACCATCATATACAATCCATGTAGAGTTCCGATTATGGATGATATAAAATGGTTTGGAAGGAAAGGAAACAAGAATGAGAAATCTGTGGTCTGACCTTCCCTTTAACCATCACCTGTGGCATTTGCTGGAGAGTCTGCAGCTCTAGGACTGGCCTTCTTATCCATTAACAGACTCTTTACTTGATGCAAGGGAGTGATCATCCTTGACCGTGAGGGACTGCTGCCACCAGTGGTGGCAGCTAAGAAGTTGGGGGATTTTTTATTGTACACTAGCAAAATTGATAGTTTAATTAGCTATATAGATATATATATTATTTTTTGTCTCATTTAAAGTAAGTCTGAAGTCTAGTTTTCAGAAGTGGAAAGTTTCACTTTATTTTTAAAATGCATGGATTAAAAGGCCTTAAATATTTTTACAGCTGATGACGTTTATCATCTTCCTTAGCTAGTGTAAACCAGGCAAACAGAATTTGCTCAAAACTTTCCAAAAGCTGGAATTAAGGTGAAACAGAGCACATTAACCAAAAAGTGCTTTTCAAGTTATTTGAAGCAGATGGTTACAGGAGAAGTCTCAAGGTAACATTAATTATAATGCTAGGTATAGATAAATATTTTAACATAATCTGAGAATAGTGTTTGAATATTAATTTATGCATTCACTTATCTCCTATCTACTAAGTTAGGGATGCATTGATCATTTAAATGATCATGTATGCAACCTTGGAGGTAGAAGTTAATCTCAGAACAGACAAAACAACAATAAAATGTTAGCAATTTTTATAGGACTTGATGCAATTCCTGCTCTATATTTTGACAAATGTAGAAAGCTGCTTCAGACAGACCCACTGTGAAAAATGAAAATTAAAAAGCTGATCCAATGCTCATTTAATCCAGTAAATCAGGTTTATCTCGGAAAAACAGTACTTAGCCAAATGTTAATATCTCTGATGACTGACACTGAAAAAAAAAGGCATGTAAGCTCCCCTGAGAGCTACTGAAACAAAACATATTTTCCTTACTTCTGAGTAGGTTTGTCATATCAGCTCATGGATTGTCAAATCACCAATTTCTTATTTCCAGCCTGAATGCATTTCAAAGCAGGGGAGTGTGCTTTAAACAGCAAGTGAAGGAGCACTACACGTTTAATAAACAAAGGAGAAGTAGACTGGGGTTTCTTTTCCCCTCATCTTCTTCCCTTTTTCTCTAATGCAGAGACTTTAATTTAAATTTATTTAAAGTTACAAAGATTCCATGAAGAAACTGAGAAGGCAGAAGCAATAAATAATTTCAAAAGCCTAGTCAAGGGCAGAACACAGATGCAAATGAAACATCAAGAAAAAGAAGAAAAGTGAATGGTGAGCACATCAGGACCAGACAGAGGAATGTCATAATCATCAGGAGCAAGACATGGACACAGATCAGGCCGTGCTGGACAAAAGCCAGGAGAGGGACCACTCACATTTTATTTGGATGAATGACTGCTATTCTTACAATTTTACATTTATTTCTATATTATAAACCAGCAGGCAGAGGGAAACAACCATCCCTCATTATGTTTCTGAGCTTGTGTGAAATGAGGCTTCAACTTCTCCTCACCCAAGACACAGAAACTCAGTCTTCATAATCCACTCCATGCTAAGAGTGGACCCAGTCCTACTGACTTTGATGTCAATGGATTTGCAGTCTCACCCTAACACAAGTTTTAGAATATCTTTAATTTATTCCCTCACTACTGTGCAAATTCACCCTGGGAGAACTGAATTATGCACTAATTCTTGCTCTATAGTTGTTTATCATCAAATACATGTTTTCCTAATAAAATGCTTTTCAGTCTCCCTTTTCATAGTAAATAGTAACTCTGTGATGATACATACCACAGATCTCCTGTCCGTGGTGAGCCTGGGAGAAGTTTGATCCATGTGAATGGCCATGGCAGACCAGCAGCTTTTAAAGCCTGGCACTTAGAAGGTTACCCTCCCAAGATTGAATGAATGAATCTCCTAAAATCTAGGATGCTCATTTAATCCCAGGAGAGCTGGTTTTTGGTGCTTTCACTTTGATATGAAACCAGGAAACTGAACAGTTGTTCTGAGCAGGCAAAATAAAAGTAAGGCCCATTGTTATATTTCTACAATCCAAAAGAAAAATGTTGTAGATAAAAGCTCTGGGAAAATGTTCAGGTCACTTTGTTCCCATTTGAACCCCCTTCTCCAAATCATGTTTATGGGTATTATACATTATTCTAGAGGTACCTAGGGTCCCAATCAGGGAATAGAAACAAAGGAGAGTCCCTGCCCAAAAGCATGTACTAGACACTGGCTCCATGTACACGAGACACTGACTGCACAGTTGTTTAGTACTTGTATTAACTAGTGCTAAATGACTGTAGTAGCGCTGATGAATGACTTCTTTGAGACGCTGACTAAGCCGTAGTCCAAGACTACTGTGCAGTAGCGTTGCATTGTGCAGTCAGTGTCTCATGTAAGACACGGCCACTAAGCAGCAGTTAACTGGGAGGAAAGGAGTGGAGACAATACACCAGCAAAGACAGAACACACTTAGATCAACAATCATACAATTATCTCTCCTGTAACAAACTAGCACATGCCTCTCAGTGCCAGCTGGAAATACTATGCAACAACCACCTGTGTACAGCCGTGTACAGGAACAACCCTACAGAAACAAACCAGTCTGCAAGTAATCCTGCCAGTGGCTGGTGTTGAGGGGAGAAGAACAAGCCAAGCAAGAAACCGAACACTGCTTTCCATTTTCTGTAGTGCAGCTGTAAGCAATAACAATTAAGAAGTCATGGAAAATATCTCAGCAATATCTTTTTGGACTCTGGGATCAATCAAATTGTTCTTCTATCTCCCACCAAATCAGAAACAAATATCCTGTCACATACTGTTTGTCTTGAGCCTGGCGGGTTCACTGTTCCGGCTGCCAGCTTGGTTTATGGCCTTGACAAGGAAGATGTATCGGGTGCCACTCTGAAGCCCGTGCACTGTGTAGTGGTTCTGTTTGATGTTGGGGACAATCATCCAGCTATCCATGGAGTTGTACAGGCCTGCAGTACAGGAAGGGGGTGTGGAGAGATTTATTACTATGTGATGGAGATGAAGGACAAGATAAATTGCAAACACAACACAGGCTGGGTATAGTGGAGTTCATGGACTGTGCATCCTTCAGACTAATATACTGCCTAGGAGTTAACAGGAATCTGCAAAACAGACTGAAGGAAAAATTTACATAAATGATAGAAACCAGTAGGAAAGGGGGATTGTTTTTATTATCACATGAGGGCAGAACTTGTTAAGTCAAAACTGGCAAAGCCAGAGATTGGCTGAGAAAGGGAATGCAAGCATTTTATGGGCAGTGTGTCATGTTGCTATCTTGGGACATGATGGAGGATGAGTGGCAGATAAACCTCTGGGCAGGCATTAAAACTTAATGATTTTTCCAGGTCCATATTTCTGTGAAGATGAAATATCCAGCAGACGAATCCTAGGAGGAGGCAAGATAAGCCAATAACAGGAAAGTGCTGATGAGGCCTCACTGAGAGGGGCAGGTTGGATTGTCGGTTTGTCTCTGGCTTAGGACCCACATTCATTAATACTGCTTGAAAACAACACTAATGAGCTACAGGTGCAAGCTCTCCCATAAGTCTTGGGAGAGGAGTTCCAGTGGTCACTCAGGGAGGAGCCTTCATCTACACCCACTGGCCTTGCAAATCGCATGAGGCAAGTTGTGCGGTCTGGCCCGGTTTGTAACTCAGTACAGAGATGTGTTTATCAGATGTAAGGTCTTTGCTTGAACTGTTTTCTATGAATCAGCTCCTAGAAACAGAATCCATCCTGGCTGTAGCCATTCAGATTGGATTTCCCTGCCTACGGCAACTGTCATTGCAACAGGGTCGGAGCTATACTGCTAATGTGTTCAAATGCAGCAGCCTGGCTGAGTTCCTCATTTACAAGCTATCATGTAAAGTGCAAATAAAATATTGCTGTGCAAAGCAATTTAAATGAACTAAATGAGAAAAAAGTGCTTCAGCAAGTGTGCCTGGTAAGGCTCTTAGCACTTAATGGAATTTACTTAGTTTTAATATGCAAAAGCAGTGAGAGGAATGGGCTGGCAGCGATGCACTGAGGAACATGGTCCCTGCCAGTGGAATTTCATTATGGGATAGCTGCCCTGTGTGCAGCTGGGCTTTCACCAGCCAATGTAATCCTGTCACGCTAGTGTGTATTTTTTACTGCTCAGTGGGTTGTAGTGGTAAGAAAGCTGATGCCCAGCAGCCTTCTGAATCACTCTTTTACATGTTCAGCATTCAGAGAGAGCCCTCCAGTGTGGAACTAAGCAGAGCTGGCAGCACAGCAGTTCAGCATTCCCACTCGGTGGGCGGACTTGGAGGTTCACACCATTTCCTCTTAGAAACTGCTTTTCCTTCCCAATGGCCCAGGATGAACTTGAACCTCAGCAAGTTAGACTTGGCTTTAATTAAATAAGTTCCCTTCAAGAACTTGAACTCTTGCTTTCTGTATTGCTGTCTTCGCTGCAAATACAAATTTCTACCACCCTTCACAAACACACAGGAATTAACAGCAGCTATAGCTTTAGTCTAGGTATGTTCCATTTCATTAGCTGTTACTGCTATTATTACAGGCAATGAGGACAGCTGGGCTGCTGGGGTGATGTCATATCTATGCTGAGAACTAGCCCAAGGCCTTCATTGATACTCTGGACAGGGATGACAAGACTGTTTCTATTCTTTTTCAAACAAGTTCACCCATTCTAATGAAACCTTTAAAAAGCCTTGTGGTCTTTCCTGCTGATCCTCATGGTTTCTGCTTCTTATGGGAAAATCTTGCTTTCACTCATTGAATCAGAATATGTCATTCCATCTACAGGCAACAGAGAGAAACATGCTTTTTGCTCTGTTTTGTTGTACTATAATACATGGCATTGGCTGATGCACACCAGGGTTCTGTTTGCCCTGCTGGCAACCTCATCGCACTGTTGACTCATGTTCATGTTCTGGTTGATTGCAACCCACACATCCCGTTCAAATGCTGTGCCAGTCAGTGTACCACCACCCATCATATAGTTATGGTGAAGGTTCTTCCTACCTAGATGAAGAACACTGCACTTCTCCCTGTTAAACCTCATCTGATTCTGTTCTGCCCATAAAACCAGTCTGTCAAGGTCATCCTGGATCCTTACCCTATCCTCTGATGTGCCTGTATTTCCCCGCAGCTTAGTATCATCCACAAACTTAATCACTGAGCTTTCTACACCCTCATCCAAGTCATTAATAAATGTTAAAGAGCATGGGTCCAAACACAGATCCCTGGGGGACACCACTGGAAACAGCCTTCCAGGGTGAGGCCATTACGCTAATTACAACTCTCTGGGATTGGCCTCTTAGTCAGGTGTCTACCCACCTCACTGTAGACTGGTCCAGCCCAGTACCCTCCGATTTAGTTGAGAGAATCTCATGGGAAACCAACTCAAAGGCTCCACTGAAATATAAGTAAATGATATCAACCTCGTGTCCCTCATTCAGATGGTTCATTACCTGGTCATAGAAGGACACCAGGTTTGTTAAGCATGATCTACCCTTGACCAAGCTGTGCTGGTTACTTCTTAATACCCTACCAGTTACCAGTTTGTAATTGATGGCCTCTTTAACAATTTTTTTCAAAAAAAATTCCCAGGACCGAAGTCAGACTGACCAGTCTTTAGTTTGCAGGGTCATCCCTCTTCCCTTTCTTGAAGATAGGTACCTCATTGGCCCTCTTCCAGTCATCCAGGACCACTCCCACATTCCATGACTCTTCAAACAGCTTTGCCAGTGGCCCTGCTATAAGCTGAGCCAGTTCTTTCAGGGCTCTCGGCTGCAGGTCATCTAGTCCAGCAGACTTGAAAACGTCCATGTGTTCTAAGAGATCCCTCACCTGTTCGGGACTGATTTCATGTAGTCTGTTATATTCCCCATATTCCCTCTGGACAGGTGGAACAGCCCCGGTTTGATTTCAGGACTATCAATGTGAGATATGTATTTAGGAGCTCTGCCTTTTCACGGGGATTAACTATGGGCTGCCCCTCTGTATTCAGTAGGGGTCCCACAGTGAAGCCCGATTTTTTCTTGCTCCTTGTGTATCTATAGAAGGACTTTTTGTTGTTCTTTATTTCAGTTGCCAGTTTGATTTCCATGCCTGCTTTGGCTTTCCGTGTCTTGTACCTGCAGACCCTGGCAATGTAAGTGTACTCCTCTCTGGTTGGTGAACCATTCTTCCATTGCTTGTATGTTTCTTTTTCAATAGCTCCCTAATATCCCTGCTGAGCCAAGTGGGTCTCTTGGCTCCTTTTCCATTTGCTGTCCATGTGGGAATGGCTTCTTTTTGAGCAGTGAGAGTTGCCCCCTTAAGGAGGCACCAGCAATCCTGAACTCCCCAAAACATCCAGTCATTGGTCATAGAGAGCCTCTCCAACTAACCTCCTGAGTTTGCCAAAGTCTGCCCTTATGAAGTCTAGGATTTTTGTTCTACTGATTTCCCAGCCTTTTGGTAGACGGTGAACCTAATCAAATCATGATCACTGTCGCCCAGAGTCCCTCCAATCATAAGGTTGCCTATCACATCCTCCCTTTTATCAGCACTAAATCCAGAGCAGCCTTACCCCTAGTAGGCCCTTCCACAACTTATGTCAGGAACAGATTGTCTATAGCTGCCAAGAAGTTAGCAGACCTGTTGAAGCTGGCTGAATGGTCCTCCCAACAGATGTAAGGGTAGTTGTTGAAGTCACCAATGACAATCATGTGTTTAGTGCTAGCTGCCTTAGTCAGTTCCCCGGAGAATGCCTGATCGCTTTCTTCTTCTTGGGAGGGAGACCTACAGTAGACTCCCACCATCAGGTCTCCATCTCCTGATCCCCCTTGTATCTTGACCCAGAGGGTCTCGAGGGACCCTTCCCTGGTATCAGACGTGACCTGGATGGAGGGGTGCCACTCTTTCACATAGAGGGCCATACCTCCTGCCTTTTTCCCAATCCGATCCTTCTTATAAAGCCTATAGCCCTCAATATTCACTGCTCAATCATACGTGTCATCCCACCATGTCTCCATCAACCCAATGAGATCAACGGGTCTATAAGGACTGTGAATTCCTCCTGTTTATTTCCCATGCTTCTGGCATTCCTATAAAGACACCTGAGTTCTCCCCTAGTCGCCTCAGGTTTTCTGTCACGCTGCCAATGTCTCAGCACGTTGGTACCTATCTGGATGTCTACTACATGAATGCCCTGCCCTGTGTCATCATAGCTAGAGGATTCATGTACAGCAGTGGGACCTTCTCCCCGGACGTGCCTAATTTAAAGCCTTCCTCAACAAGTAGGCAATTCCCATAGAAAAGAGCTTCTTCCCTCTGGTTGTAAGGTGAATACCATCTCTTGCACGTAGACTGCTGTCGTTGACCTGCATACCAAGGTCAAGGAATCCAAAGCCTACACAGTGACACCATCTCCTAAGCCTTCGGTTAATCTCCTCAATGCACTCCTCCCTCTGATGGCTATGGCCTCTGACTGGAAGGATTGAGGAGAAGACCACTTGTTCTCCTAATTCTTTGAGTTTCACCCCCATGGTCTTGTAGTCTCTCATGATTCTCCCAGGGCTGTTTCTCACTGTGTTGTTGGTGCTCACATGGACAAGGAGCATGGGGTAGTGGTCAGTAGGGCAGACCAGTTTAAGAATCCTTGCCTTAACATCTCTAATCCTGGTTCCTGGAAGGCAGCAGACCTCTTGAGCAAAGGGGTTCTTTTGTGTCCTGCAGCAGTGAGGCTCCCATGACAATCACCCTTCATTGTTTCCTTGCTGGGGTCAGCTGTTCCTGTCCTGTCTTCAGTGCAGAGGTCATGGATGCACCATCCGTCAATGGTGGGAGGGCTTCATAGCTGTTGTGCAGGGCTATCGGTGGAGCAACTGACACACATTGTAGCTTCAGGCCTGACATGACCAATTTCTACCCACTGTCAGTTGGGGCATCTTACTTAAGCCTGCTCTTCTGCCCGGTC